TGGAATATTTATCAATTGTGACTATTGAACGTCACCACTGATCATGTCAAATAGCATAACTCTTCCAACTTAGAATTTCCAGTCAGACTTTACTGCATTACTGCAAAGCACTAAATTCCGGCTACAAGAGGGTATACATCATCCGTTTTTCCTGTCAGATAAATAAAATCTCACTTATTTTTTCAACTTTTGTATTTTAAGCCAAATAGAAACACTCAAATGTATCTTTGTTGTTTTCCAGTGACATTTTCTAATTCTTCTGCATACATCTTATTTTATCCTCCTGGATTTGCACTACAAAATGGTATATGAATTGCCCGGATTACTTCCCGTTAAACGGGTAAGAAATTCATATTTCTCAACATATATCAGATGAAAATGCGATTTCGATTACTAACAATCGTAAGCAAATTGGCACATCGTCCGTTCTTGGCAAATCATTTGTATACACTTTCGTGAAATGATTCATTTGAACGCATAACTTTTTGGATTACAATGAGATTATGACGGATTTGATTAGTAGACCTGGTCAATCGTCGTTGGAAATTTTGAGATCATTATTCCGATTTTGACCGCATTACAGTAGGCTAGGATCCGTTATTTTTATAAGCCAAAATAAAGTTAAACTTGCTCTTTTTCTTCGAGTATGTGTGAGTGCTTGGTCTTTTTCTCAAGATGTTGAACGTTTTCCGTGAAATCGTTTCGCCTTACCGCTAAATAACTATCGCTAAAAACCAATTCAGGTTTCAATAATCGTTTGAGAAACAAACCAAAATAATTGATTCTCAGGATTAATTGAACCAGCTGACTGTGAGTTTTGTGCAGTTCAGTTGTATGCCTTAAATGTCGTCTAATATCCACTACCAACAAAACCATCACAAAACACTCGTCAACTTCACTATCAACCATAATCCTTGATCTGCGGCAAACAATCAACCGGATCACACGCATACAATACTACCGTAATCAGCCATATCTATTGTGCACAATAATCAAAAAAAGGTACTCTAAATACTACAGTAATCACATAACAAATTGCCATCATCCGGATCTTACATTCATCATTCGTTCTTCTTATCAGCAGTTCAGTGATAAAAAAATCAAACATTTTGAAAATCGTTGTCGTAACACTCCGAATTTTTTTAAAGTTTTAAGCTCCTAAGCTCCATTTAAGTTTTACGCTCGAAATTTCAAGCAAGCTCTATCATAATTGGAGAGTGCAGTCACCAGCAAGATTTCATAACAACCATACAGTATCATACAGTAATCAATTGCCATCGTTATTCAGTTGTCTTTCCGTAAACTGATATCGAAGTGGACCTAATCTACCCACCGTAACCATACCATAGCCACCTGGTTCTATTGTGTATTTGGAGAACTGAATATGGGCCTTCTCATAATTTTAATTGCACTCATCACAGTTATTCTATTCGTTTGGAGGTATTCATTAATTTTTTTTTTTAAAAAACTTGTAATGTAAGTGTGCATAAGTGAATAACAAAAATATATTCCATTTCAAGCAATTCTCATTCCTGGAAAATATGTCATTGTTTAAAATATTTCATCTCATCCAAACTCATACCATACAAATTCAGTTCCGATTATCAGCACGATATGAGAAATCAGTTCGATTTAAGACTTCTGTTGAGCATCCGAATTGACATTTTGTCGGAACTTCCAAAATCTTTCGATTCATTTTCAGAACCACAAATGTTTCGACAACCCATTTCTGCATGCATTTCAATGATACACAAAAGTTTCATCAAGTTCAATCGGCAAATTCAGTTTCATAGTGTCCTATTGCAAAAGAGGATAACAATACATGGATGATGCAAGAAGCATTCAGTTGATAAACGTTCAGGTATTTGGGATGGATGATCTCGCTGGTGATCGCGCATTATTTTGGATGTGACTCGGTACGACTCGGTAAATGCGGTTTTTTCTACGTGCAACATATCAAGTTGACGTTGAGGAGTGGCATCAGAGTTGAGATCGATGAACTGCGTTTATCGAGCAGTTTCTTTAATGCACAGTTCACGTTCGTTCACTCTAACAATTGTTTCATTTTCTTATTGACGTATGTGTAAATTCACATTCGGCCGTAACTTTTATTATAAATTCACATTCGGCCGTAACTTTTATTATAAATTCACATTCGGCCATCGATTCATGGGAAGTTGAAAGCCGTTGTTGATATTCACCTGTAATCAATACATTCATCCGGATCTCACATTCATCATTTATTCTTCTTATCAGGAGTTCATCGGTACAAAAATGAAACATTTTGAAAATCGTTGTCGTAACACTCAGAAATTTTAAGCAAGATCCATCATAATTGGAGAGTGTAGTCAGTACAAGGATAACGCTTCGAGAAGTGTTATTCTTGACATCGTAACATATAATAATGATCAAATTGTTGTAATAATCCAACAAAGTGGTTGATGTGGGAAGAAAATATCAGACAAAAACCTTACATAGACAATACGAGGAGTTCACGCATCAGAATTGTTCACGACACTGTACGCCAGTGAGAGTTTCAATGGTCTGATAAGTTGACTCGTCGTCGTTTCAGTAAGCCGATAATGTTAACGATTGGTGATATGCGAATTGAAGGAGAGAAACGATTGAATTTGAGTGAGAATTTAATGGCACAGAAGCAGTCATCTCAACAAATGAAGAATAAAAACGTCAATAATGCAACAGCAGGAATTGATGTGGAACGATGGTTGCATTGGTTACAGGTGAGTTAATGGCTGATGAAACTGTCACTTTTCATTTTATTACACTCAGAGGATTATTATTATTATTGTTTTTATTATTAATATTATTGACATTAATATTAATATTAATGATATTAAGTATGCGGGTGCAATGATTCGAACGGCACGAATCGTTTTCATTGACGCCGTGCCTCGATGTCTGTTGCATTCCACGTTTGAGACTGTTCAACTGGACGCGTTCCGGGATCGTGAAGGGTTCGTTCGCTGAATATCTCTGGATTTGTCTAGGATTTTGCNAAAATATACGATAATAGGAAATAATATCTTTGCGATACACATTTTAGAATGCAATTGGAGTTAAGCTGTCGTCTGGCACAAGCGAAGTTATTCACTCGTGGACGTACCACACCGTTACTGGAGCTATCGTTGACGATAGCGTTTTGTGCCGACTTGACAATTTCAAACATCCGTTTGAGACGGATCAGTGTCTCGATTACGAATCCATTTCTGTCCCTATCAGATGGTGAGTTTAGTTGTGATTATCGTATCGCTTATGCCCACTCTCCCAAACAAGTGCCACTATATCAGACTCTGAATTGGAGATATATGTGAAAGAAGCGATTTCAGGCTTGTTGGAATATTTGCACGAAAATCCGATCGTATTGGGCAAAAATGATCCATCCACAGTAGTGACTGAAGAGACGTCGGATGAAGCAGATGCGGATGGCTCAGAATCAGACGCTCAGTCGAGATCGCGTTTGTTCCGAGCCAGTCTGCTATCGAACATAAAGTTGGACGTGAATAATCTGGTGTTCCGGTATATTGCCCAGATGGACAGTGAAATGAATACGTTCGTGATTTTGTTCATTGCTTTCTGGGTTCATTTTGACTTCTTGGTCTGATTTTAATTTGATTTTATTGGTAGTAATAATGATATTATTATTGGTATTATTATAATGATATTATTGTAATAATGATGTCATGATATTAATAAT